ATTCCACCCGGGGCCGCCACATTGGCGCAGCAACCTGCTGCAGCTGATTGCTTGGTCCTAGCGCGACTTACAGCATGCCCTCCGGAAATCGAGCTCTTGGCTGGACTTTGCGGTTCATGCCTGTGCGGCAAAGACTTTGTTGAGTCCAAAGGCATGAGGGGTGCATGCGTTGCCTACGTACCTGCAATGCGCCAGAAGCGATCGGTGTTCTGCACTGGCAACTTTATGGTGGCTAATCCTCGCTTTTGTTGCCACTTGACCTATGCTTTGCAAAACGACGGTTGCGAGTGGAAGATGACGAGGAGGAGGATGCATGTCGCGTTGTCCAGTCTGGCATTGCGGGGCGCATGCAGAAGCTCGTGGTCTTTCATGAAGATGGTGAGGAGGACCAGGACCAGAGAAGCAAGCAATGCGTCCTTTCATGCTCAGGCGGCCTCACTTGCTCAAAGCAAGCAAGGCCATAATATGTCACGCGTGCAGGGCTTTCCATGCTATCTCCGGAAAGAGGGCTTGAGCTTGAGCGCGTAGGCGACCGTAGCTTGGGCTTTGGTTCATTTTTGTTTTTCTATGTTTTTGCCAGCTTTGCGAGCTTGTAGCATCCTTGCTGGACGCCATGACACCTGCAATTGTCGTTTTGGCAATTGACAGAGTCTTGTAACTCCTGAGAGCCACAGTGATATTCATTGTGACCCAGTGATCTTGCTCGTTTTCGCACCCCATCCCTTGCCTTAACTCCGATATCCCTTTCAAAACCTTAAAGAGTCATGTTACAAGAACTGGCCCTGACAGTAATAATCCAGCCCGGGTTGGTGGCCAAAAAATCTAGATTCATGTACCAGGACCAGTGTGAAAGAAAAGGCACAGTTGATGGCTTGTCCTCACTCACGGTTGAACGTCAACCTGACAGGAGGCAGGACTCCCGGCCGTCACTGTTGAATCAATTGAATCTGACAGCAGGCAGGACTCTCAGTCCTCACTGTCACTGTTAATTAAATATCAGTCAGTAAATAGTTTGAATTCTGATTGTAGTGGAGACAATTGCTGACATGGGAACTGGAAATAATTCCTGACAGTTTGGGTTTGGCTGAGAGGAGAATAGAAAGTAGGCGCCTAATGGAGATGGACGGCGTCTGTGAGGTTGATCTTGCTAAGTCCACTGAATGCACGCCAGGAGTCATAGCACTTCTGGCGCTGGGTGGATGGGATGACCAGGACCACCGTGCGCATTGTAGTCTGAAGGTGAAGCAATGTGGGCGCTGCAAGTGGGTTTCCAACAAGACCTCTTGGCAAGCCAAACACGGCTGGTTGGATGCCCAATATGACCCAGACTCGCAGAGGTGGGGTGTGGGCTGCAAATTGTGCGCCAAAGCCAGGCACAACCCAGAGATCAGCCAACAACTGCCGCCTTCAAAGCAATTGTTTGGTGGCTATAGGGTTGTCGACAGCGGTGCTTTGCGGGAATCTCGCTTCCAGAAGCATGAGCAATGTGCTTTGCATCAAGCTGCTGTGGCGTATCACAACTCCAAGTTGCCAGATTCGGCGGCGCCTCCTCACGAGCACTGGCTGAAGGCGAGGAGGGCCATGGGAGATTTGTAGAGCTCACATGCTGTTTTGTTCTGAATCTAAATTTATGACAATAATTGCCAAGTAAAACTTCATGTTTTTGCGCCATCAGGTCCTGGATGACATTGACAACTTCAGCGAGGGTGGCATCAAGGGCATTGGCTGTAGGAAGAAGGTGTCTCAGATGCGCTGGTGCCTGGCAGAAGCACAGAGGGACAGGTACAGAGCAGCACTATTGTCGGCCACCACAGTGACTCTCAAGCAAGACAAGCGGAAAGGAACCAGATTCATCATGCGGTTCAAGTGCTGTGATTCAAAGTTGCAAGTCACAGAAGGCACTTTGCAGATGAGAAGGCATGTCGGTGGGCCTGCCGCAGACGCCTCTGGTGCAGATGGCCTGCGCTTGGCAACCATGCAAGGCTTGAAAAGCATAAGCACACCTGCAGCGCCGCCACACTGGTCCGCCGAAGCACGCAAAGAGGCCGAGAAGCGACTCGATCCACTGAGATCATTTTTTGTTTCCAGTTGATACGCTGAATGTGCCAGTTGTTGAGGGTCCTTTTAATGTGGCATTTGATTTTGTTATTTTAATTTTTGATCATCGAGGCCGGATTTAGAGATGTATACGGCTTTGTGCCAAAAAATCGAATGCTTTGCCGCCGACGGTGCCGCCGATGAGCAACTGGCGGCGAGGGAGCTCGGAGGAATAACGCTGGGCTTAGCAGGGCCTGACGTAACTCCGTTGTCATCACTGCAACGAGATTTGGTGGACACCCTCCCCAACCTCAAGCTGTGCTGCCGCGACAGGGCGCACGCAGCGCAAAGAGTCATGCTCAAACCAGCAATGGCCGATCCGGATCTCCGCAAAATTCAGTCAGAGCTGGTGACCAAGACCAATTCCATCAGTAAGATGATCACTTACTTCCCTACAATCCAGGAAATATGGCTATCAAACCGAGATTCTATGGTTGATCCGCCAATTTCAACAGCTGTGCGGAACATGGCTTATGCCCCTCAGCGCTACAGCTCTGAGACACAGACGCTCCTCCGGCTGGTGCTGACATTCCCAGCGACTTTGACGACAATGGCCCAGGTGAGTAGTTTGCGCGGAAAAAGCGCAGAAGCAGGCCAAGCCATGCTGCAAAGCCTAGAGTTCTTGACAGATCCGAAAATGTGTGTTCTACTTGGAATGCTGGCAGACGGCCTGCTGGAGCTCCATAAAATTGTCTTGCTTTGCGACCAGGCTGATCTCGATGAGGCTGATCTGGGCTTGCAAATGGAGCATTACCACGCTGCTTTGAACCGGCTCTTTATTGAAAAAGGTTGCTTCGCAGTGCCAGGGTGCACATCATTGATGCTGTCGCATTTGCGAGAGGAGTTTGCGTTTGTTGTCAATGGCCGCCCCGCGAGCATAGGAGGTGCACACCAGGCCATGGGCCAAGAATTGTTCAGAATCATCAACATGTTTGCCGATTCAACTCTGAAAGTGGAAAACAAAGAGGCTGGCAGTATGAAAACTTAGATCACTGCCAGTCATGCCTGGTGCAGGTCACTGAAGCTTTGAAAAATGAGTGCTGCCTTCAGATGGGCAAGTTCGCATGCCTTTCAAAGAGAGTCATGGAGGCAGAATTTCCCCATTTTGAGCTACTCAGCAGGTTCAGGGCATTTTGCTTGTCACCGAAGCTGAAGGTGAAACAGGCCTGCTGCGTTTGAAGCATAAGAATTGATGTGTTAATCCACGGCGTTTATTTGGTTTTGCCCCTGACTAGTCAATAATATTAAACGTTTCCCGTCTCAATTCTTGTGAGGATGGCACTCGTGAGATGAAGGAGAATCTGCGCATCTTGGCCAATGCCGTGCAAGTTGATGCCACGGATTTGGAGGTTCAATTCAGGGACCTACAGCCATATGCATCAAAGCACATGGCAGCATCAGAGGGGAGGTTGGCATCGGCCGAGTGTTGGAGGCTGGCTATAAAACAAACGGAGAAGAACAGAGCTGCCCACCCATGCGACGCATTATCAGCAGTCGTCCAGAGACTTCTGAGTTGGAGCAGTAGTTCCTCTGATGTTGAAAGGGCCTTTGGCCAGGCCAAGGCTCTGTCATTGCCAGGGCAGTCCGAAAAGGAAGATATGCGGTCCGAATCAGACGCACTCATTTTGAAACACGAGCTGGGCAACAATGACCGTGACAAGGTGATCCGCGCTGCCATGTCATTGTGGCGCACCTTCATGGGCCGGCCAAGGTCAAGTGAGCGGTCTGACAGGATTGACAAAAATGTTCCCAGGAAGCGCCGCTTTGTCTGTGATGAGTCTGCGGGGTCTTCCCCACAGACTGAGACGTCTTTCTTGGCGAAGCGAAGTCGTGCCGTGGATTCCCTGCAAGAGAGGCCTGCGTGCTTTGGACCAGAAGAGCTCCTGGAGTCATTGACAGCCCAGCAGTTACACGAGTTTAAGGTGGCAGATAAAAAGGAAAGGAAGGCTATGGTGGAAGCGTTTTTGACGGGCAGCCTATGCCCAGCCGGAGAGGAGAGCACTGTGCTGGATGAGGATTTGATCAACAACACGGAGGCCTACATGATGTCCGTGGCCACCGCGCAGAAGGATACCAAAGCAAGGAAAAAAAGAGAGGAAGCTATTTTGAAAAAGGACCCTTCGAATCTCTTCCACCTTGGCTGCGCAGTGTTCGCAGTTGATGAAGTCGGCCTCAAAATTCCACCCGGGGCCGCCACATTGGCGCAGCAACCTGCTGCAGCTGA